TGCCGGCAGCTTCAAACAAAGGCGCATGGGAAAGAGAGATCACATGGTCGTAATTCATCTATGAAATGAGAAACATGCAGGAATGGGGCAATTCAGGGTCAAGGAAGAAAAACTGTGTTCCAACAGATGCTTCCAACACAGACTTTCAAAAGTGAACAGGTATGAGGTAGCAGATAGTGACTGCAGCCATGAAATTAAAAGATGTTTACTCCTTGGAAGGAAAGTTATGACCAACCTAGATAGCATATTAAAAAGCAGAGACATTACTTTGCCAACAAAGGTCTGTCTAGTCAAGGCTATGGTTTTTTCAGAAGTCATGTATCGATATGAGAGTTGGACTATAAAGAAAGCTGAGTCCTGAAGAATTGATGCTTTTGAACTGTGGTGTTGGAGAAAACTCTTGAGAGTCCCTTGGACTGCAAGGAGATCCAAACAGTCCATCCTAAAGGAGATCAGTCCTGAGTGTTCCTTGGAAGGACTGATGTTGAAGCTGAAACTCCAATACTTTGGCCACCTCATGCGAAGAGCTGACTCATTTTAAAAGACCCTGATGCTGGGAAAGATTGAAGGTGGGAGGAGAAAGGGACGACAGAGGATGAGATGGTTGGATGGCGTCACTGACTCAATGGACATGAGTTTGGGTAAATTCTGGAAGTTGGTGATGGACAGGGAGGCCTGGCGTGCTGCAGTCCATGGAGTTGCAAAGAGTTGGACATGACTGAGGGACTGAACTGGACTGAACTGATGAGGTAGCAACCCAGCTGGGCTGCAGGGTTCTGGAGCATTAGAGATGAAAACAAGTATTTAGTGAATGCTTACTACAAGCAGAGCAGCATAACAACCTAGGCCGGCTAGGTAAGCACGCCTGCATGGAGTTTTCAATCACAGAATAGGTATCTTAAGTAAAAATACAAGGCTGACAAAGGGAACCAGCTTGAACCAGAGAGATGCTGTCGCCCAAGGGAGGCATGATCCCCATGACAGGCTGAGTGGTCAGGGTAGCCTCCCAGAACAGGGGCATCTTACACAGTCCTGAAAGCAGAACAGAAATTTTCTGCCCCTGTGGTCCCCAAGTCACCTGAGGAATTCTTTAAGAAAGTACAGATTCCTGAATCCCACACCAGACCGAATGAATCAAAGACTCTAGGAATGTTACCCTGGAATTGCTATTCTTTAAGAAAAAAATTATGATTATTACGGCAAATTTAAAACATTCACAAAAGCAGACATAATAGTGAACCCCCGTGTACCCAACACCCAGTCTCAGCAATCATCGACTCATGGCCATTCTTTCCCCATCTATATCCTGATCTAGTCCCCTCATCTAGTATTCTGGAATCTACCTTTTTTTTTTTTTAAACCAGGGACTCTTAGACAGTCAGAACATAGATGTGACCTAGGAGCTCCTCACTGAGCAAGATACAGATTGGGAACAAGGGAATTGTAGGGACAGTGGAGACAAAGACTTGGAGAAATGAAAGAGAAAGGCATTTGGGGGAGAATGGTCTCATCTGGAGGGTATAGAGGGTGGGCTACACAGTTGGGGGAATAGTGATAAGGATTATAAGATCGTTGGGGGCCACCAGGGCCCTTTTAGCATGCATGGTGTCTTTGTGAGAAACAAAAAAAGGGGTCTCCTCTAGGTAGAGAAAGCATCTCTTCCTCGGGCTGAAGCCAGATGCACTAGCAGAACAGACCTGGATGCCAGCTCCCACTCACCGCCTGGGCCCCTCCCTCCCGTGCCATGCCCAAGTCACACAGCCGTGCACAGCAGCCCCAGGGCCAGGGCTGATGGATTCTGATGGCCAGCAAAAGGGGCTGTGCTTTATCTAGTGAAGGTAGAAGGACGCTAAGAAGGGCACCATGTGACCATCCGCCTGTACTTTGAAAGAACACTGGACTGCAACAGAGAGGTAGGTAGACAAGATAGGAGGGAGAAAAGCAAGAGGCAGTGAGTGACTCAGGTCAGTAAACTCTTGCAAACTACCTGAGAAAGCAAGTAGAAAGCCTTGGAGATCATCTTGAGAGAGTAGTCTTGTGCAGGGATCTGGAGAGAACTGGGGGCTGGAGACAGTGATATGGGAGTCTTGGGCACACAGGTGTCATTTGGAGACAGTCAACTGCTGAAATTGCTCAGGGAGAGTATTTAGGGATGAAGGCCTTGGGAAAAACCAGTATTTAGAGGATGGGGGTTGGAGGGGAGAAGGACCAGGCCATGTTATATAGAGATTAAGGAGAAATGGCCAGGGAAGTGGAAAGGAGAGAAAGAGAGGGGACAAGTATGGCTCACAAAAGTCACTAGAACAAAAGTGTTCACAGGTGAGGTGAGAGGCAAGCATTCATCTAGGGAAGCAGAAAAGAAAAGAAACTAGAAATGTAAGGAAAAGTCAAGTTTTGGAGTACCAGGAATGACTAGTAAGGAGTATGGGCTTGGACTTGACAGGCCCATAGCAAGTGTCATGATGTACAGCAGGAGCCTACTGATCAGTTACACTTCCTAAGTCTGTCACTTACTGAACATGGCCTTGGGCAAATTATTGGGTTGGCCAAAAAGATTGTTCGGGTTTTCTGTAAGATGTTATGGAAAAACTGGAACAAACCTTTTGCCCCACCCACTATTTAAGGGGAATCTCTGAATCTCTGCTGGTAAACTGTGGGTGATTATACCCACTCTGACAGGGAGTGGATACGGATGATAATTCAGTGAATGACAATTCTTCTAGCCACTGGCTCCTAAGAGTGCACTGCATTGTAATATGGGTGATATTTTCACATATCTAACACTAGTATCTCTAACTAGTTGGCAAGCTGCTTTGGAGGCAGAGATTAGGAATTTAAACTGAAGCCAAAGGTCATTTCTTGATCATTTAGTATGTGCAAGATAATAAGAGGATGTAAAATAAGAAGGTTGATGGGTTAATAAAGAAGCAGCCACGGTCCTAAGGGAGAAGGTGTGACATTCCCAAATTGCAAATAAAGTGGTGGATGGAGAGACTCGCTCTGTCTGGTGGGACCAGGTTTCCAGCAGGCAGACAGTATTGCATGAGGCTTCCGGGCTGGAAAGAGGAGGACAGAAGAACAAGAAAGTAGGGAATTGTCAGATGAGCTTGACGCAAGCTAACAACCTTGGGTTCCCAGGTGGCACTAGTGGTAAAGAGCCTGCCTGCCAATGCAGGATGTATAAGAGATTCAGGTTCAACTCCTGGATCAGGAAGATCCCCTGGAGTATGGCATGGCAACCCATTCCAGTATTCTTGCCTGGAGAATCCCATGGAGAGAGGAGCCTGACAGGCTGCAGCCCATAGCGTTGCACAGAGTTGGCCACGACTGAAGTGACTTAGCACATATACATGCAAGAACCTTGGTAGATTCAAGAGATCATGGGAAGTGAGGTGTACTGGGCTGTAGTAGACCTAATCTAAGGTGACCCCCAATGTTTCACACTCTGGTATAATCCCATAACCCCTTCCCCTTGTGTATGATGGAGAAACTGTGACTTACCTCCAACCAAAACAATGTGGAAAGGGATGTGACATCACTCGCAATTATAAGACATCATAGGGCAAGGGCCAAGGGATCTGCAGGCATAATTAAGGTCCCTAAATGATTCAACTTTGAGTTAAAAGGGAGATTAGCCTGGGTGGGCCCAATCTAATCAAGTGATCCTTTTCAAAGAGGGTCCAGGCCTCCCTGAAGTTAGAGACTCAAAGCAGGAAAGGCTTTCACTCCTGCTGATCATGAGGAAGCCACATGTATTCTCCATTTGCAAGGGAATGAATTCTGCCCATAACATGTGAGCCTGGAAGAGGAGCTCAAACTTCAATAAGAAAGCAGCCTGGCTGACACCTTGATCACAGCAGAGAGACCCAGGTACGCTGTGCCTAGACTTCTGCCCTGTGGGAACTGTGAAATAATCAATGCTTTAAGCCACTGCATTTGTGGTAACTTGTTATGCAGTAACAGTAAACAAATATGTGGACTTGTGACGGGGAGGACCATAATAGCAGGCTATGGGCTTTGTTATGCAGGCCATAGGGAGCCACTGACTATTTTTGAGCAGAGGGACTTAAGGAAGCTGAGGGTTGGTTTCATAAACCCTTGGAGAACATTTTTTTTTAGTTAGGGCATTGCTTCCTGAGTGGGGCCAGTGAAGTTCTGGTGAGGGATTAGTTTTGGGTTGAATCAAGCCAGCTATTCTTCAACCCAACTGAAGGAAAAAGGAGGACGCAAAATCTAAGTAAAGAAATTGACAATCATTGAAAAAAACCTGAAGGAACTTTAGTGTCCTTGTTGCTAATTATAAATATTTACTCCTCCCAGAATTCCTGACCTCACAGAAGAGCCTGCGTTAGTAGTACTGCTCTCTTACTGGAAAATTTGTGTGTGTGTGTGTGTGTGTGTGTGTGTGTGTTCCATGTTTTCTTGGAAGGGGGACAAGGCAGTAACAAGGGACTGGATGATCTGCAGAGAGTCACTTCCTGTTAGACACTGTCTAGTTCCCCTCCCCTCTTCCCTCCTAGATCATAAACCCTGAGACCCCCCAAGGAACTCCTCCTCCTCTGATTCTATCTGCTGGAGACAACTAAGCCAAACAAACTCAGGAAGTGGCAAGAGGTTGGGAAGGGGAGGAAGTTCATGGCACAGAAGGAAAAAGTACAGAGAATGCCCTGATGTTCAAGGAAGAGGGTTGGGGTGGCAGGGGGGAGAGAAATGAAGGTCACCCCAAGGTTACTTGGCACTGGGCCTTTAAATGTCCTGCTTAAGTTTTCAATCAAAACTGGCACAAACAGTGGATCAGATCTCCCGGGGCTATTCAAATATTAACATTTACAGTGATAAACAGCCCCCAAAAAAGCCCTCTGTAAGAAAATTGAAACAAACAACTAATTTAAAGCGAGTTGCTAAGAGACCAGTTGGCTGGAAGCCAAAGTCAGTTCAAGCATCCGGAGAACTCTCTATTTTTTTCACTTCTAGGGAAGAGAGGAGGTGAGGAGAGGTACCTGTAGATGACTCCATGTTGGTGGAGGAACATGAGAGCTGATGTAACCTCTGCAGCATAGAACCGGGAACGAGGCTCATCGAATTTTCGGGAGCGCTGAATCTGGAACATGAGGTCCCCACCATTCACATACTCCATGACAAAAAAGAGGCGGTCCTGAAGGGAGAGGAGAAAATGCCATTTAGTGAGTCCACTGCAGCTGCCCACACAGGCCAGCAAATGTACAGTGAGTTCGAAGTAATGGAACTAGGACTCCAGCGGGGGCAGGGTGCACAGGTGGGGGAATTCTAGTAGCTCGTGTTCCAGAGAGAAGACAAGGAATCAGAGTATGAAGTGTTATTCTAAGACCTTTGTCTTACTTTCACAGGAACCAGCATGGTCTAGTGGGAGGAGTCCAAGATTCACAGAAAGAAGACCTGGATCTCTGTCTAATTTCTGTTACAACCTTGAAGTGTGACCTTGGACAAGTCTCTGTCCCTTTGGAGGCTCCAGTTACCTTTGTCTGTGTGGTAGGTTACAACACGGCTGCTCCAAAGATATTCCAGTCCTAATCCCTTAATGTATAAATGTTACCTGAGATGGCAAAAAAGAACTTAACAGTTGTGATGAAGTTAAGGATCTTGAGTTGGGGAGATTATTTTGGATCACCAGCGTGGGCCTTAAATGTAGTCACAAATGTCCTTATAAGAGGGAGGTAGAGGGAGATTTGAGAAGGGAGGAGAAAGCGGTGTGACCAAGGAAGCAGAGATTGGAATGAAGTGGCCACAAGCCAAGGAAGGTGGTGCTGCCAGAAGCTGGAAGAGGCAAGGAAAGGTCTGTCCTAGAGCCTCTGGGAGCATGGCTCCATCAGCACTTGGACTTTGGCTCAGTGACACTGGTCTCAGACGTCTGACCTCCAGAAATGTGAGAGGAGAGACTTCTGTTATTTTAAACCACCAAGTTTGTGGTGCTGCTAAGGCAGTCCTGGAACATAATACAAAACAACATGGACTAATGAGATGGTGAGAGCCCCTCCCGTGGAGGGGGCCACGTCTCACTTTGGAGGATGCTCCCTCTGGGATCTCCACCTTGGTGTGCTTACAAATGGATTTTGCCCTCAAGAATGGCCAAACCATAATCACATCTCATTGGGGGTGGTGCCTTCTTATCTGCACATCATGATGATGTGGGAAGAAGAGGGACTGAAATTCACTTTTTGTACAGTTTCTTGACTACTATTTCCTGAGCCTGTAGAGTATGGGGTGCTGTGCTGGGCAGGAGGCAAAAAGTTGTAAGCCATCACTGTCCTGAATGTTGGGGGTGGGGTTATAAGCCTTAAACATAGGGCTTATGATCCAGGGCCAGAGATGGGAAATGCGTAGAATGATGAAAACTAAATAGGACCAGAGGGTCTTAAAGATATTTGGTGCTAAAAGGATTAGGAGAAAGGGGAATTCTCTGAACTGGGGGTCCATGGAGGATTCTAGAAGGAGATAGGCCCTCCCTGAGAGGAGGAGGAGATAGGGAGAGGCACCAACAAATACCAGGACATGGGAACAGTGTGACAGTGCTTGGGGACTGGTAAACTGACCAGGTCAGCCATGGAGGAAGGTCCATGGAGCAAAGAGGAAGCAGTGAGGTTTGAGAGGCCAGGGGATCAGAGTACATTCTTAACATATAGACACAGTCTCAGCAAAGCTGCTAGGAGGGTGTCAGCATATTATCTTTGATTAAAATTAGTAGAATCATTTCAATTAAGACTGAGTAAAAATCACAATTAGCAAAATCTAATAGAGTTTTGCCAAGAAAACTCACTGGGCATAGCAAACGCCCCCTTCCAAAAACACAAGAGAAGACTATACACATGGACATTACCAGATGGTCAACACCGAAATCAGATTATAATAATTATTATATTCTTTGCAGCCAAAGATGGAGAAGCTCTATACAATCAGCAAAAACAAGACTGGAAACTGACTGTGGCTCATATCATGAACTCCTTATTGCCAAATTCAAACTTAAATTGAAGAAAGTAGGGAAAACCACCAGACCATTCAGGTTTGACCTAAATCAAATCCCTTATGATTATACAGAGGAAGTGAAAAATAGATTCAAGGGATTAGATCTAATAGACAGAGTGCCTTAAGAACTACGGACAGAGGTTCATGACATTGTATAGGAGGCAGTGATCAAGACCATCCCCAAGAAAAATAAATGCAAAAAGGGAAAATGGTTGTCTGAGGAGGCATTACAAATAGCTATAAAAAGAAGAGAAGCGAAGGCAAAGGAGGAAAGGGAAGATACACCCATTTGAATGCAGAGTTCCAAAGAATAGGAACTATTTAATAGGAGAGATTAAAAAAAAAAAAAAAAAAAAAAAAAAAGCCTTCCTCGGTGATCAGTGCAAAGAAATAGAGGAAAACAACAGAATGGGAAAGACTAGAGATCCTTTCAAGAAAATTAGAGATACCAAGGGAACTTTTCCTGCAAAGATGGGCACAATAAAGGACAGAAATGGTATGGACTGAACAGAAGCAGAAAACATTAAAAAGAAGTGGCAAGAATACACAGCAGAACTATACAAAAAAGATCTTTATGACCCAGATAATCATGATGGTGTGATCACTCACCTAGAGCCATACATCCTGGAATGCATAGTCAAGTGGGCCTTAGGAAGCATCACTACGAACAAAGCTAGTGGAGGTGACGGAATTCCAGTTGAGCTATTTCAAATCTGAAAAGATGATGCTGTGAAAGTGCTGCCCTCAATATGCCAGCAAATTTGGAAAACTCAGCAGTGGCCACAGGACTGGAAAAGGTCAGTTTTCATTCCAATCCCAAAGAAAGGCAATGCCAAAGAATGCTCAAACTACTGCACAATTGCACTCATCTCACACACTAGCAAAGTGATGCTCAGAATTCTCCAAGCCAGGTTTGAACAGTACGTGAACTGTGAACTTCCAGATTTCCAAGCTGGTTTTAGAAAAGGCAGAGGAACTAGAGATCAAATTGCCAGCATCCACTGGATCATCAAAAAAGCAAGAAAATTCCAGAAAAACATCTACTTCTGCTTTATTGACTACACCAAAGGCTTTGACTGTGTGGATCACAATAAACTGTGGAAACTTCTTCAAGAGATAGAAATAGCAGACCACCTGACCTGCCTCCTGAGAAATCTGTATGCAGGTTAAGTAGCAACAGTTAGAAATGGACAAGGAACAACAGACTGGTTCCAAATAGGAAAAGGAGTACATCAAGGCTGTATGTTGTCACCCTGCTTCTTTAACTTAAATGTAGAGTACATCATGAGAAATGCTGGGCTGGATGAAGCACAAGATGGAATCAAGATTGCCGGGAGAAATATCAGTAACCTCAGATATGCAGATGACACCACTCTTATGGGAGAAAGCCAAGAGGAACTAAAGAGCCTCTTGATGAAAGTGAAAGAGAAGAGTGAAAAAGTTGGCTTAAAGTTCAACATTCAGAAAACTAAGATCATGGCATCTGGTCCCATCACTTCATGGCAAATAGATGGGGAAGCAGTGGAAACAGCGACAGACTTTCTTTTGGGGGGCTCCAAAATTACTGCAGATGGTGACTACAGCCATGACATTATTAAAAGACACTTGCTCCTTGGAAGAAAAGTTGTGACCAACCTAGACAGCTTATTAAAAAGCAGACATTACTTTGCAACAAAGGTCCATCTAGTCAAAGCTATGGTTTTTCGAGTAGTCATGTATGGATGTGAGAGTTGGACTATAAAAAAAGCTGAGCATCGAAAAATTGATGCTTTTGAACTGTGGTATTGGAAAAGACTCTTGAGAGTCCCTTGGACTGCAAGGTGATCCAACGAGTCCATCCTAAAAGAAATCAGTCCTAAATATTCACTGGAAGGACAGATGCTGAGTTGAAACTCCCAATACTTTGGCCAGCTGATGCGAAGAACTGACTCATTTGAAAAGACCCTGATGCTGGGAAAGATTGAAGGTGGGAGGATAAGGGGAAGACAGAGGATGACATGGTTGGATGGCATCACCGACTCAATGGACACGAGTTTGAGTAAACTCTGGGAGTGGGTGATGGACAGGGAGGCCTGGCATGCTGCAGTCCATGGGGTCGCAAAGAGCCAGACATGACTGAGCAAGTGAACTGAACTGAACTGAAAAATCACAACAAAATTTTATTCATGGAGCAGTCTTGACCACATATCTACTTTATAATTGGCATCTCTTTTAAACTAAGTCATCCTTTAGAATTGTTATAAATTCAGACTACCTTCTCTCCCCACCACGACCTCCAGAGTTATTCAAGCTTTACTGGTATTCACAAAGCACCTAAGATCTAGCTTCCATTTGTATTGACCTTCCGCTTCAAAGCCTGCCTTGTTTTCTCTCCCAGGTCCAACTGGATTCTCAGAAGTGTTCAGAAGCCAACCATTCATTCGATCATCTATTCCCCATTCAAATCCTTATTTCAAATGATCAGGTCAATGCCAACCCAATGAAACCAGAATTTCTGAGGGTAGACTTTGGCAGTATTAGTTCTCAAAGCTCCTCATGTGATTACAGTGGGCAGCCAGGGTTAAGAAACACTCTCCCATCCGGTTGCTGCCAAAGTGAGATATATGGATCATATGTTATTAGGGTTTTCCTCTTTTTCAAGGGTCTCCCAAGAACAAGGTTCTCAAACTTGTGCATCAGAATCTCACAGAGGTTTGTTAGAACATGGATTCCTCCTCCGCTCCTTCTGCCCCACAGAGTTTCTGATTCAGAAGGTCTCGGTTGGAGCCTGAGAATCTGCATCTCTTAGTTCCCTGGTGATGTTAGGCTGCTGGCCCGGAGCTCCCACTTTGAGAACCAATGCCCTAGAGCACTTGGAGCAAGGCTTTCCCATGGCAAATATAGCCTTGTCATGCATTCAACACTGCCCTAATCTAGCTGAACCATCATCAGAAACAGTTGCTGCAATACCAGTTCCTGGTCACCAACTTGGACTTGGGCTTTAGCAACCATGGAACATTTTATTGCCTTTGCTAGAAAGAATCCAAATTTCTAAATCTCCCCTCCCCACCCTGCCTCCCTGGCTGCTTTTTATTCCCCAACACCAGACACAAGGCATTTAAGGACAGGGGCCATGGAGTGAGAAAGAAGAGCTTCCACCCTGATTTCTTCACTCAC